CCTGCCGTCCCCGCCGTTCCTGCCGCCGGGCGGCCGGCGAGAGGCGCGAGAGTGCCGAGCGCAGGGCCGAATCATTAACCGACCGATCCCCCCCCCGGCCAGGCGCGCGGCCCGGGCGACCGTCGCGCGGAGCCGGCTCACAGACAGCTGCTTGCGTGCATGTGCGGGCGTTCCCCCGCCCCCGCACCGGGGGCAGGGCGCGTCGGCACCGCCCGGCCGGCGTCCCCCCCGTCAACAACAGGCAGCCCATGCACACAGACACACACACACCACACATGCGCGCGCAGCATACCCCCGGTGTGAAAGCCGGCGCGCGGAGCAGCTGCCGGCGCAGCGCCCCAATCGGCGGCGGACATGTGCCCACGAATTCGGGCTTTGCCGCCCCCCAACATGCGCCCGGCCCGGAAGCGCACTCCGCCGGCCCTCTGCTCGAATATTCCCCCCCCCCCCCGGCCGGCCGGCCGGCCACCCTGGCCGCCGGCGAGGGACCGCCCGCGGAGCGCGCCCCCAGCACCCGCCGGCTGGCGCACCAGAACCCCTCCGGAACCCAGCGTCCCCCGCCCCCCGTTGTGCACGCCCCGGCCGCGCGCACCCAGGCAGGGCGGGGACGCCCCGTACCGGGAATCCCCCGGCCGGAGCGCTCCCCCGCCCCCCCCCGCCCCCCCCCCCCGGTCCTCCATGCCTCCGCCGGACGGCGGGGCGTTGTCTGTCCTTCGGCCCGCGGCCTGGCGGGTGCCGGACGGGGGGGCAGGGGGGGCAGGGCGGGCGGCTCTGTCGGCGGGGACGGGGAGACACATTCTTCGTGCCCGGAGGCCCAGGGGCCCCGCCGCCCGGGGGAGGTGCGTGTGCTCAGGCTCACGGTGCCCGGCGCCCGGCGCGCCGCCCCGCCACAATGGCGATGCGCCAGCGCCCCCCGGCAGAGGCCGGGGGCATGCCCCGCCACGCGCCCCGGCTCGGGCCTCCCCCCGGACCGGTGCGACAGCCGCCGGCGTTCGTGCGAGCACCCTCGCGCCCAGTGCCGTACACACAGGCCGGGCGCCGCCACCGGCGCGGCCGCCGTGTCCAAGGCAGCGCCAGGTCGGGGCGCGCTCCGACCCCCCCCCCCCCCGGTCCCGCGCCCCTGGCCCGCTCCAACGGCGTACCCCGCATATGTGTGTTGTGTGTGTGTATGCCGTGCCCCCAACG